TAAAAAGTCTTCACTGCTCACACATGCTATTTCCTCTACAGTGCCCTCTTTAAGCACTCCAGGAAGCAAACAGTGCCTCAACTTCAAGGGCATTTCTTACAACTTACTCAGATTGCCCGTACCAAATGCAGTTACTTGGGTACATTTCTTCTAAAAATTTTTTTCTACTACCATATGACCCAGAAATCCCACTACTGGGTATATATTTACAGAAAACGAAATCAGAATGTTGTAAGGGCTATCTGCACTTCCATGTTCACTGCAGCATTACTCACAATAGTCAAGATGTGGCATCAACTTAAGTGCCCATCCACAGAGTAATAGATAAACATCTACTGTCAGTTGGTGGAGACAGAATCCCAAGCCCCCCTTAGGAATGAAGTTTCCCTTAGCACGCTTTAGCGCACAGTGTGAGGAATATCCCAATCATGGGTATCTTAATGGATAAAGAAAATGTGGTATACACACACACATACACAGAATACTATACAGCCTTTAAAAAGAAGGAAATCCTGTCATTTGTGGTAAAATGGATAACATTTTATGGAGGACATTATGCTGAGTGAAATAATCCCGGCACAGAAAGATAAATACCACATGATCTCATATTGTGTGAAATCTAAAAATGTTGAGATAATAGAGGTAGTGAGTAGAATGGAGGTTATCAGGGGCTGGGGCAGGTAGGTGTTGCAGAGTTGCTGGTCAAAGAGTGCAGAATTTCAGCTAGATAGGAGGATTAAGTTCAAGAGATCTATTGTACATATTCTTGAGGTTATGGCAATAAATTAAAAAACTTAAATAGAAAAATTCCTTGAAAGACCGAAACTACCAAAGCTTAATTAAAAAAAAAACAAAAAACAACAGATATGCTGACTAGCCCTCTATTTATTAAAGAAATTGCACATATAGTTTAAAACCTTCTCACAAAGAAAACTCTAGGCCCAGATGATTTCACTGGTGTATTCTACCAAATACTCAAGAAAGAGACAATACCAATTCTACACACACTGTTCCACAAAACAGAAGCGGAGGTAACACCTGGAATCAATCTGCTTTTTACCATTTCCAAATCTCTTCTTACCCTCCCACCCCCAGCTCCATGACTAGAAGTTCATGTGCACCTGTATAGACATCCCAGACTGCAAGTCCAAGCCTCAGGTACAGCCTCTGCAAACAGCCACCTCTCTCAGGCAAAAACACGAGCCCACCAATAGCTTTGGATATGGGGAGCTCACTGGGTGCCGTCACATTCACCTGAAGGGCAACTTCCCACAAGAATCTACCTGCTCTTGGTCACACTACAAAACATTCAGGTAGTTGTTTCTTGTATCTTGTCCAGATGTTATCTTCAAGGGGTGCCCCTCCTTTGCATCACTGAATCAGGATGGGTTGGGAGATGCTCTTGTGACCAGCCTGTTTGTTCTGTTCCCAAGATTGCACACAAGATTTGTTTTGCCTCCCAAGGTTAAGTCCCTCACCTCTGAGAGGTGTGTGTTTTGCTGGCTCTTTCTGAAATTGGAAGCTTTGGATATCTCTCCCTCACTCCCTTTCTCTTTCTCTCTCTCTCTCCCCCTCCCTCCCTCCCTCCCTGATTTCTCCTACATGTGCCCTGCTTGATCTCCCCTGCTTTTGAAAACATCTTCACCTATTTTATATATTTTTTTCTAGCTTCACTAAAAATAGTTTGCATTTCTACCTGCTGTTTTGACAATAGAAGTATCAAAGATTAATGCAAATATAAGACAGGACCAAGACCAAACAATTACCGATTAAAGGAATCATTATTTGTTAAATGTCCCCATATGCACTAGATAACCCACGGCTCTAACTAGAGGTTTCTATATACCAGACAGTGGTGGAAGTCTACAATCACATCTACATAATGCATATGCTACCAGTTTTGAACTAATGTATCCTCCCACTAATAGGACATTTCTGTGTGCAATTATGCATCCCAGAAAAGGGCCATGAAAATACACCACTAGTGCCAACTGAGACAGGTATGAAGTAGGTAGGGGTCATCAGAAAACAAATTTATAAGCAGAATGTAATAGAATGCATTCATTCCCTGGAATCCAATTATCCCATGGGTTAGGCCAGGTATAGAGGGGTCTACATGCACTGTGACTGATATTCCAATAGAGACTGACCTCCATGACTTTAATATTTTACATATTTATAGCAATGAGGTGGTTCTGCCTATTTGAGTTAACACAGACCTGCTGAGCCAGTTTTCCGCCAAATGACCAAAATGAAGGCAGAATTGAACATTCAGAACCATCCAGATTTGCCTCTTCAGATGTTTTGGAGATGTGGTTTGACCCATGAATCATCCCAGTTTATGTATTCACTAATCATGCTGTGATTAGTTCTTTACTAAATAAATTTTAGGAGCTACTCAACATGAAGACAGTTGCCTTACAGCCATAAATCCACTGGGTCTCCATTTCCTTATCTCTAGGAAAGGCAGAGCAAGGGGTTGAGCCCATCAGTATTGGACAATTACCATTCTGTCAAAGTAAACTTGGAAACTGAAAGATAGAATGCCACTTCTAAAGATATGCTGCTATTTTTATGCCCAGAAAGTTAGCTCTCTGCACTACATTTAGTGGAACTGGCTGGCCTTTAAGTCCTTTTCAGTCTGGAGATGTAATTCAATTACTAGCAGTATAGTACAATTATTTCAATAATTTAGTAAAAAAGATTAACCACCAGAGGGCAGAAAGATTATACAGTGCAGGAAGGAATGATGCTGGCCACAATGAAGCACACCTGTGACTTTTAAAAATCTTGTTTTAATTAAATTCTCCAAACATTTTGTTTCCTGCCTACTCCACTCTATAATCTGTGTTGCACTAGGAGTCCAACAAGTAATAATGTCCTCTAACAAACTCAGCTCAAATATACAACTTGAAGAAAGAATGGCTGCCCTTTGGCATTATGTGATATTCCTTTTCATTTGTTCAGCAAGTCTGTATTAAGCACTTACCGTTTGCCAGGCATTGCTCTTTGAACTTAGAATACACCAGCTAACAAAGAGCCCCAACCTTGTGGAGTGGACATTCTGGTGAGAGGCTAGATCTACCTAAAACTAAAACAAATAAGTCAATTATGTAGTGTGCCAGAAAGCGATCAGTGCTGTGGAAGAAGGAAAAAGCAGAACTGTGTACAGGACATCGGGCGTCAGGTAAAGGGTAGGAAGGGTGGTGAGCGTGGACCGTGGGAAGGGGACATTTGATGAAGACTGAGGTGAGGGAAGAGGCCGTGTTGCTGGCAGGGCAGAGGGAATAACACAAGAAGGTCTTAAAGCAGGAGAGGAGAGCCCACTGTAGTTGTTGAGGCTAAGGTAAGAAGAGACAGATCACGACAAGTTTTGTAGGCTGTTGTGAGGACTTCAGTTTTTACTTTGAGTGGAATAGGGAGCCATTATAGGATTCTGCAGAGGGACTTTTTTTTTTTTTTTTTGAGTCAGGGTCTCACTCTGTTGCCCAGGCTGGAGCTCAGTGGCACAATTACGAGCCAACACAGCTTCCATATTCTGGGCTCAGGCGATCCTTCCACCTCAACCAAGGAGGGACTTTTTTTTTTTTTGAGTTGGAGTCTCATTCCATCGCCCAGTTTGGAGAGCAGTAGCACACTCACAGCCACCCCAGCGTCGACCTGCTGGGCTCCGGCGGATCCTTCTGCCTCAGCCTTCCAGATAGCTGGAACTACAGGCTTGTGCTATTACGCCGAGCTTCTTTTATTTTTTATTGTAGAGACGCGTTCTCGCCAAGTTGCCCGGGCTGGTCTCGAACCCGTGGGTTCAGGCAATCCACTCGCCTCAGCCTCCCCAAGTGCTAGGATTACCGGCTGAGCCACCGAGCCCGGCCTAAGAGGGACATTTTTAAAGGGTCACTCTGACTGCAGAGTTGAGCAAAACCTCCAAGAGGCTTATGTCTTAGAGGGGCTCCCAAATATTCTATCTGCTCACAGAAAGCCGAGTAAAGGGCAGCTAAAGGCAGCCACACTGCTGTCACTGTTGGGCGAGTAGCAGCTGTGAAAATGCACAGGAGGAAATGAAGTTACCTTGCCATACCCAGCTAAATCCGAGTTGAGAGTACGGGAAAGAAAGCCCTCGGGACACAGAGGCCAGGACTTGCTTCACAACTGACAGCTTCCCTAACATGTGTCCTTGCTTCTAATTTAGGGCTAACCCGAGAAGGGCGAGCATGCCCTCGGCCAGCTGCCGGGGTGCCGGTTCCGCACCTCCAGCTTCCCCGCGCCGCCAAGGCGCCGCGCAGCGCACACCTGGAGCCTTCACAGCGTCCCCTCCTTGGTCCCCGGTAAAGTCTTCCCACTCCGCTGCCTGCCTTGCTTTGCTTCACGGCCAAGACACAAGTGACAGCGGCTGGTTTCTTGCCGTGGCAAGCTCTGAGGGAGCCGCCGTGGCTTCTCTCGTCGGGGGAGCTCCATTGAGTCCCACCCACGGGGGGGACGGGGCGTAGCAGGGAGAAGGAAATCCGAGGAGAGCGGCAAAAGCGAAGCCCGGGCCTGGCACCGCAGGGAGCTTGAGAAGTTCTGTCCCAGGGCTGGGTCCCCTCCAGACGAGCGCCTCGGAGGCCGGGGGAGAGCGCCCGGCGACACACCGCCGGAAGGCGGGGGCCGGCGTCGCGAGTCTCCCGAGCGGGAGCGCACGGAGCGGGGCGGAGCACGCAGAAACGTGCCGGGCGAGGGGCGCGCCGCACGCCGAGAGGCC